TATACGAATTTTAATAAATATGTCAAATTATAATCTTTTAAATGTATCTGTGAAAAGAACTAATTTTAGGAAAGGATTCTTAATTATAGGTATGTTCTGTTTCAACATATTTCTGTTAAGAACGCATAAACGGGCATAGTAATCGTTTTCAGTTCTGGTTTTTAAATTATGTCAAATCTATAGAGTAGAATATGTCGTAATTTTATATTTATTTAACTAGGCTTTCGAATCTTGTTAGCTTATGGTTCTCGCATAACAAGGTCTTCGTTGCGTCCCGTGAGAAGCGAATCGAAACAAAATTTGGAGCATCCCTAATTCAAACCCTATACCTTATAATAGGATTTGAAGAAAGAAATCCCCGGATATCTATCCATAACCGATACTCTAAATAGAGGGTCTATTCGAATTTCAGACTATTCGAATTTTTACACGAAAATGGGCTTAATCCCCTATGGTTTTTCAATTTTCAAGGACCTATTCGAGGTTCATTAGCATTTACGCACCAAGTGAGATGTACCTTTCGACTCAGCTCGCCAAGGCCAATCGAATAGTAAACTATTTAACCAGTTTAGGAGCGATCCCTCGACTAAACTACGGCCAAAGTTCATTCTTAGGGTGTATATTTAGCATCGGTCCTCGGCGAGGATTTTAGTAAAAACCGAGATCAAGGACCTGTCGAACCGAGACAGAGATTCGAAAATGGGCGAGAACCTCGGCCTCTGCGAGGCAGAGATGCACGAAAATTTTTCGTTTCGTTTCGTTTTCGTAGATTTTCGTGGATTTTTGATGATTTTCGTTTTGTTTCGTGTTTCGTTTAAAAATAATTTTTTTCGTTTCTTTCGTTTCGTATTTCACTAAAAAATTATTTTCGTTTCGTTTTCGTTTCGTAAACTCAATTTTTGGACGAAAATGACGAAAAAATATTCGATATTTTTAGACAAATTTTTTACTATTTTGGCGTATTTTTAAGTCAAAAATTGAAAATTTTTCTTCCGGGAACTGGAAATTAAAAAAAATTTTGCCTGCGGCGCTGAAAAATGAAGTTACTTGACTGTGAGCGTCAAAAATTAAAAAAATTTCGCCTGCGGCGCTGAAAATTGGATGGAATTTCAAGGCTTTATTAAGGTATTTAGGATATAGTTGGATCTTATCAAGTGACTGGTCTCCCATGTATATAAATCGGTTCAGCCCTTTGATTTAATGAGATCATGAAGGATAAAGGGGAAATCGAGGCTTTTGAGGGGATATAGTAGAATGTGAGCTTGATATCGGTAGACCAAGAAGGATTGAAGGGGATATAGTGGATCAGATAATATCACAGGATCTAGAAGGACTTAGATAGATTAAGAGGGATATTGATGGATTCGGAGGTCCATTGGGAATATCAAGTAATTTAGGGGAATATAAGGGGATTTGAAGGAATATCTGTGATTTGGAGCAATTAAGGGGGATTGGACAGATATGGGAATATTAGGATATTTGAAGGGATATCAGGCAGGATTTGGGGCCCTGACTCCGAAAAATCCGGCCAGATCCGGTCTTGCGGCGGGCTCTAGTTGACAGTATAAAAAGAAAAGTAATCTGAGACTCAAATATTGGTGGGGGTGGGATTTTAATAAAGTAGGTAATGATTTGAAAGGATATTGCGAGATAATGGGACATAAATTAGGCATTTTTGTAACTAAATTAGGCATTGGAGGGGAAATAGTTAATAAATTAGGCATTTTTATAATTTTGATTTTTTTCGTTTCGTTTCGTTTCGTTTCGTGAAAATTGAGATTTTTCGTTCTTTCGTTTCGTAAAAATGAAATTTATTTTTTTCGTTTCGTTTTCGTTTCGTACATTGGCGAATTTATTTTTTTCGTTTTCGTTTCGTTGAGAGCGAAATTCTATTTTCGTGCATCTCTGCTGCGAGGCGTTAACCTCGCGCTACTCTAATTCATACTAATATTTAGGCAGCGTCATTTTAATATTACTCATAATTATCAAATATAGAATTTTGAACAATAATAAAGAAACGAAAATGCATATTAATGAAAGAAATAATGATTTTAAAGAAGAAATGAAAATAAAAACCGCAAAAGGATATGTGAGTTTCGCAGAAATTTTAGAAAACGTCTACAAACCAATTGGTTTTACGGTTGAGGATTTTGGAAATGTTATACCAAAATTACGTTTACATGAACAACAATCATGCAATCTGGTAATTTGTTGATAAAAATGTTATATGTATGTGTAGAATGTTGTAGTATTTGTATGTAGATATACCAGAATAATGCCTACCTGGGCAAACGTTTAGTGATTTTATAGCAATTAATATATTTTATTGCGCTGCAGGCGAAAATTTTTGGATTTTTGGATGTCCAAGACGATAGAATTTGTGGAAAATGGATTGAAAATAGTAAAATTTAAGTAGAATCTTCTAACATCTAAGATAGGTCAAAGACGAGCCGAAATAGCTAAATAAGGGAAACGCCACCCCCTGTTTTTTAGCCTCTCTATTAGATAATTAGCTAGTTAGTTAACTATGTACTTATTTCAGATTTATTCCAATTGGCTAAATGCGTCTAAAACAACTATTAAACCATTAGATAATATACAAGTGTTATTGCACACCAATTATACATTAAATGGTTATATTACATTGAGTAAATGCTACTTTCACAATGAATCTTATAATAACGAAAAACTGAATGTTGACAAAATCGAAGCAACAAACCTATGGAGTCAAGAAAATATTGATGGTTGGGTTAAAGAGATAAAGGAGGGGAAATATACAGAACGTTCTGATAAGCAATATACTGATTCAGGTATAATAATGAATTAAGGGCCCCTTCTTAGTAGTTAGTCATCCTGTCACCCCTTCGTATCGTGGCGGCTGAAAGGGGGCTGTCAACGGTTAATCAAAAAATATCATTTACATCTCAGCCCCTTCCCTCAAATCAAAAGCTTTTGGAGCTTCCCCCACCTACCCCTCCCAACCAAAAATTGTTGAAGCTTTTCCATCTTTCTCCTTCCCCCACCCGCTATCCAACTTCCCATTAACCAAAAACTTGATGTTTCAGGCTGCGTTTACAATGACATCCGTGTCAAGCGTTCTGTTGAGCGTTTTGTCGAGCGTCAAGCGCACCTGTTTACAATACTCCGTGTAGTGTTGAGTGTCAAGCGTCCGTGCGGGCATCCGTGCGTGCCTCCGTGTCAAGCGCACCTGTTTACAATGGCATCCGTGTCGAGCGTTGAGTGTCGAGTGTCAAGCGTTTTTCCTTTCAAAAAAATCTTGAAAAACGCTTGACGCTCAACACTATAGAGTACATGGTGCAGACTGCAAGAGAAAATATTTATTTTTTTTGGGAATCTTATTATATAATTGAGAAAGGTGTGTGTGTTTGTCTGTTTGTCCTTTTATAGACAAGTGGGTTTTTATAGTAAAATGATTTGGGGGAGTAAAGAAATGGGGGCTTTTATAGTAAAGCGTTGCCAGTTGAAAAAAGTTGTGAGGGTAAGAAGATAGTATAAAAGCAGGGTATTTTGGTCAGTCCTCAACTGCTTTCAACATTTCTCAACATTGCTGTGCTCTGTTCTACGTTTGCTGGAGTCCTGTGTCTTCTTGAGTTAGGCGTCAACGTTCATTTGTCAAGTGCTAGACGTCCACGTTCATGTGTCAAGTGCTAGCTGGCAACGTCACTTGAAGTGCCAGGCGTCAACGTTCATTTGTCAAGTGCTAGACGTCAACGTTCATGTGTCAAGTGCTAGCTGTCAACGTCACTTGAAGTGCCAGGCGTCAACGTTCATTTGTCAAGTGCTAGACGTCAACGTTCATGTGTCAAGTGCTAGCTGTCAACGTCACATGAAGTGCCAGGCGTCAACGTTCATTTGTTAAGTTCTAGACGTCAACGTTCATGTGTCAAGGCTAGACTCAACGTTCATGCAGGCGGAATATTGAACAGGGGAAATTGTGAAGCAGGCGAAATATTGAAACTAGGGATAAGGGTAAGGTTGTAAGGATAAGGTAAGGGTAAGTAGATAGTATAAAAGCAGGCTATTTTGTTCATTCTTCAACTGCTTTCAACACATCTCAACTTTACTGTGCTCTGCTACTTCAACCTTTTGCTGGAGTCCTGTGTCCCCTTGAGCTAGATTTCAACGTTCTTTTGTCAAGTGCTAGGCGTCAACGTTCATTTGAAGGGCTAGACGTCAACGTTCATTTGTCAAGTGCTAGGCGTCAACGTTCATTTGAAGTGCCAGGCGTCAACGTTTATTTGTCAAGTGCCAGGCGTCAACGTTAATTTGAAGTGCTAGACGTCAACGTTCATTTGTCAAGTGCTAGGCGTCAACGTTCATTTGAAGTGCTAGACGTCAACGTTCATTTGTCAGGTGCTAGGCGTCAACGTTTATTTGTCAGTGCTAGGCGTCAACGTTAATTTGAAGTGCTAGACGTCAACGTTCATTTGTCAAGTGCTAGGCGTCAACGTTCATTTGAAGTGCTAGACGTCAACGTTCATTTGTCAGGTGCTAGGCGTCAACGTTCATTTGTCAGTGCTAGGCGTCAACGTTAATTTGAAGTGCCAGGCGTCAACGTTTATTTGTCAAGTGCCAGGCGTCAACGTTAATTTGAAGTGCTAGACGTCAACGTTCATTTGTCAAGTGCTAGGCGTCAACGTTCATTTGAAGTGCTAGACGTCAACGTTCATTTGTCAGGTGCGATTTAAATCGAAATTTCGAATCAGAGTTTTTGCCCCCATTTTGAGCTGGGCAAACGAGGGAGAGGTCTGCTAAAGTGATTTCCTTATAAAATTCTATGCACCCTATCCTGTGTTTAGCCTATCAGGTGCACCTATTAGATGCTTTGCTTTGTTAAATGTATTTTTAATCAGTAAATGTTTTAATGCTGGTCAATGTTATGATAATCGGGTTTTTCTTATTATGATTGGATTAGGGCAAATTTTGAGGTTGTGATAAGTTGATTTGGAGTTTGTTTTTTGGTTTGTTTTGTTTTGCTAGCGGGGTGGGGCGGCCGAAGGCCGACCAACTCCGCTAGTGGGATAAAATGTCATTTTTATGTTTTTTGTTTGTTGTTGTGTTTTTTGTTTGTTTTTTGAATGTTTTTTTTGTTTTTGGTTGTTTTTATGTGTTTTTGTGGGTTTTTGGGGGTTTTTGTGTCTTTTTTGTGGGAGTTTTTGTGTTTTTTATTTGGTTTTTGGTTGTTTTTGGGGTTTTTGGATTTTTTTTGGGTGTTTCTTAGTTTTTTTATTTTTCTTGGTTGTTTTTTGTGTGTTTTTGTGGGGTTTTAGGGTTTTCTTGTCTTTTTTGGGGTTTTTGTGTTCTTTGGGGGATTTTGTGTTTTTTGGGTTGTTCATATTTTTGGAAAAATTTTTTTGGAAAATGGAAACCTAATTTAAAATTCCTATTTAATGAGGAAATTTTTGTTTTTTTAAGTTAAAACATTTATTTTTAATAAACCAAAATTTAAAAAAATTCACTCTTCAATAAAATTAAGTTTTAATTTTTCAATTTCAAGTCGAAATTCGATTTCTTTCTTCCTTGTCAAACCACGCATAAATTCTGCCAGAGAACGGGCATAAAGCATCGAACTATCTTCAATTGGTTTTTCCTCCAAAGCCTTGAGAAGAGCTTCATCCACTGGGTCAACAGAAACACGTCTACGTCTTTTTGGAGTACGAGAGCTGGCTGAATCTTAATTGAATGCATATTACTAAAAGTTAAACTTAAAAAAACCATTTGATAAAGGGCGAATGCCTGCCTCACTTCCTCCAATGTCGATCAGATCATCCTCTTCGTCCTCTGGAATACATTCGGACGCTATCATATCAACCTCTTCACGAGATGCTGCAGGCCTCCCCCCAGTAGAACGAATTGAACTAGATGAACTAAAATGAGTTTTATGAAAAAATAGGTATTTCCTATTAACCTGGGTCTTTCTTGGAGATACTGTCTTAAAAAGCTCAATTCGTTTGCATATATATAATTAACTTCCTTAGCCTCATCTCCTGAATTTTTTTGCATCTGCCTTCGATATTGATCTCGCAAAGATCTCCATCTTGTTGCGCAAGTATTCCCATCTACATATAAGTATAGGGAATTGAGAAAATTATAACTAAAAATTACCAAAAAATCCAAGATCCTTAGCAATTCCATTCCAAATAGAAGTTTTTCTATTATTGTTTTTGTAGTTGGCATTTGATTGATCATACAGCTCGGGAAAATTCCTCACTCTGTCAATTAACTCTCCATCATTTTCTCTAGAAGATTTTTGGTCCATTTTTAAAGTTCTAAAAAAATTTAAAATTTTTTGTATATGTTTGTAAAAATATTTTTAAAATTGTCGATAAAAATTCAAATTTTATCAAAAATTTTACAAAATTAGGAATAATTTTTAAAAAATAGTAGAAATAGCACAGCGAGACGAACAGAGCGATCCGTGCCCATTTCAATGTAAATAGAACGCTTGACACTCGACGCTCAACGCTCGACACGGACGACTGTCAAGCGTTGAGCGTCGAGTGGTACGTGTGCCGTTTACAATGAAAATAAAATGCACGGAACAAAACGCTTGACACTCGACGCTCGACACTCGACGCTCGACACGGAGCAATTGTAAACGTAGTGTCACTCTCTTTTCTTTTGCTTTTCCCAGAAGCAAAGCCCTTTGAGGCTTTTCCCAAATTATCCTAGTAAACTTCCACATTCACTCCCAAATTTTTGATAAAATTCATACAGGCAGAAGCAATTGTCATGGACTCCCGTAGAATGTAAAGCCCGTTTGAGATTTCCAAAAATTCTTTTTTAAGGCAATGAGAGCAGCCATTAAATTTACTGGGAAATACTGGGAAAAAATTCGCCTCGATTGGCACACTTTAACTCAGAGTAACGCCAAAAAGTAAGGGGTGTTATAATTTTGAAACTGAGTATATACTAGTATAAATTAAGTTTATTGCTCAATATTTAGATATTTTATAGCTTCTGTGTTTTATGCTACAAAACATTACAATATAGTCGGAAAGAAAGGTGCAGTTATCGGCTCGATCAAACCCTGGGTTGAAAGCATGTGTTTAGCAAACGGTGCAAGTAAAATTGTTACTATTGACTATCAGCACATTAAAATAGGACATGATTCTATTATGTTTCTAGATGCTTTTGATCTTGTTAAAGCAAGAGAATTGTGAGTTTGGGTTTATTTACATCCCAAGCAGAGATGTTTCGAAACGAAAAAATCTTCGAAAATCGGAAATGCACAAAATGCTCAGTGGAAACAAGAAATTATTAGAAAAGATTCATTTATGAGAGAAATATAAAAGATTTGAGCATGAATAAATATTTTCTAATTTAATTTGGAGTATACTTTAAATTTGGAAATTTTCTCCCTATATACTTTTTATCAAGATTTTGATACTTTTTATTGGCATTTTGTCAATCGGAGCCCTGTATTAATCCCAATACATACTGTGAGATCAAATAATTTACACATTAAATGAATTAACAAAAAAATTAAATTTATTAATAAATTTATGATAGAGTGTAAATTTTCAGATTTTTTGATAGCTTCGACTTTATTGTCAGTTTTTCCAGCATTGAGCATTCTGGTCTAGGACGTTATGGTGACCCTATTAATCCAATGGGTGATATTATGGAAATGCAGAAATTGCGTTGTATATTAAAGCCACGAGGGATTTTCTTCCTTGGAGTCCCTGTTGGACAAGACGATGTTGGTTATAATTGCCATAGAACTTATGGAAGAATTAGATTACCTCTAATGTTTGCAGGTATTTTTAAAGTATTTGCTTGCGGCGCGGACTCCAAATCCTTAATCTTCGATATGCAGCACCATTACTAATATACCTCGATGCCACCTTTAATACTTCAAAGTCTCCTTATATCCTTGATATATTCTGGTCTAGGCCGTTATGGTGATTATGGTTAAAACGTTATGTTTAAATTCTTTATTACCTTAAAATCAAACTTATTCCCTCCAAATTATTTTTATTTCCCGATATTCCTTTTAATACCAGAAAAATACAGGCAGGCCATGTTTCCTTTTTTTACATTTTACATTGAATGAGAAAATAATTAGCAGTATATTTCAGGATTTGAACTATTGAATGTATTCTATCTGAAATCCAAGCCAATAGAAATGGATATTAAGACGTTTGAAGATGATCATAATCCCTTATTTAATTTTACACATTTTGTTTTTGTACTTGAAAAGAAAAGTGATTAATTGTAATTTTCAATGAAGAATTTTAAAATGAGCCGCAAAAATTATATATTTACCGGCTAATTCGCGATAGAATTAGTCTCATACCATAATTTGACTCAAACACTCTCGTACGTACTCCCTGCCATGTACATGCCAAAATTCATGATGGTACATGTTAGTGTTTCACCGGAACCGGAGGCTCCCGGACAATCCGTCCGTGGACAATCCGTCAATGAACAAATTAGTAATTTCTACCCATACTCAAGCTACCGCGGACAAAAATTTTCATTTTATCGTCAGGGATTATAAGAGATATCGAAAATTTATCAATGGATTTGGTAGATATTGAGCAGTTTGGTCTGTCTGCTAAATGAACTTGTAACAAGCTCATCGATAAAATACTTTAATAACTAATTATCCTATGATCCTGATTTTTTGTCAGAAAATAGGAAACTCTTTTAGGATCCTAAAGAAAAACAAAACTAATTCTGATAACGTTTTGTTGAATTTTAATAATTATTTAATCCGTTTTAATCAAGGGGGGCTTAGAACTTAGTTTACAACCTAAGTATTTAGTCAACTTTATAGTAATTTAAAAATTACTAATCGTGTGAATAATTGTTGATTTACAAAAATTTACTTATATATTAATTATCCAATTTTATTCGTAATAAATTCTTAACAGAGCTGTTCCAAAACAAAAAAAATTTTAATTAAAAATCGAAAACAGTCCAAAATTTGGAACTCCAAACAGACGTAGATTATTCAAAACAAGAATAATATTATATTCCAAATAACCAATACAGCTTGAAGAACCAATACAAAGATTTGGACAGCCTTTAATAATAAAATTCATTAAAATAAAGACAAGAAAGGTTCCAAGCACATTACCGTATCTCATCTAATTGAGAGGCTGCCTCTCTATTTTTCAATCCCCTCTCAGAGGGCCTCTCTATTGGAGACCGCCGTTCAAATAGAGACGCCGCTCGATTAGAGGAAATACGGTAATTTTCATTAAAGATTACCTTAAGAATATCATTTTTAATCCGACGTTCAGATGCTTTTATTTCACTTTCCAAACGTAAATTAAAATCAGTTTTAAATCCAATAAAATCCTCTTTGAGTTCATCAAGTTCTGAAAAAATTATTTATTTTGTATATCTTATTAAGTACAGAAAAATTTGGGTAATAGATCCCAGAGAAAGCCAATATACATATCATTGTATCCCTCTGAGCTTTCCCTGGATTTTTGCTAGTTACATAACTAATATTAGGTTCATATTCATATTAATCGACTTGAATTGGGTTAGCCCCGACAAGAAAAATTCGTGTTCGAGAATGTCGAGGGCAGAAATGTATGAGAAAATTGACAGAATCGTTCAAATTCGGGGTATATAAAAAATTTTCCTATAAAAATCTTATTTTTAATTTCACCAATTTTCAAGACAGTTTCATTCTTTTTGCATATTGCAATAAATGCTAAAAAAATAATTTTTAATCAGCAAAAATAATTAGTAATAACTTTTATTTTCCCACCCATCCACAGGTTCAGAGAAAGTTTCATCAGGATTCATGCTTTAAATTAAAAATTTTTTTTAATAATATTAAGGTTATTGTTAAGAAATTTTTAGGTTACAGATATCTTTGAAATAAATTCGTTGAGTTAAGACTAGAGTTCGTAAGGGTTCGTTACTACAGCGGTACGGATCTTTCCAAAATTACCCATAGCAGTATACATATATGGGTAATTTTTTTTTTACAAAACCTTGGACAGCACTGAAAAAAGGTAATTTGGCGAACACTAGTTAATGAACAAACTTAAGCAAAAAATCAAGAAAAATTCAAAAAGAGACACATAGATCCTAGAATAAATCTTCAAAAAAATTTACAAAAGTTGTCGAAACAATCCAGTTTCAGTACATTTATATCCCAAACCGATAACACCCGGAAAGCTAACAGCAACTGTATCCAAAGCCAACGAACCATCTTCGTCAGTTGGTATAAGTTTTGGCAACTCTCCATCCTTTTCTGTTATATACACATCTTTATACTTTAAATTAAACTAAATTTTTTATTTAAAAATTAAAAAAAACTTGAGGTATGTCAATTTTAACGTCAGAGTTGTCCATCTTAAAGTAAAAGAAATTTTTGAATATTTTAAATTAGGCAAGGGATTGTTTATAAAAAACAAAGTTTACTTAAACTGTCTTAAAGTAATTGTTATTTTAATGAAATTCAGAAGGTGTTAGTCAGAATTTTATCAGAATTTTATTTAGAAATTCTGATTTTTATTTTAAACACATCTAATCAGGTATGTCACGCGTTATATGAAATCAGATCCACAAACTTTTTTCAACCTAAACACCTAATCAAAGTAACTTTCGAAAGCAACACCCGACTTTTTTCTCACCCAGAACATCCCTGATTCCAATAAATATATTTTTAAAATTCGGAGTTTTTCCAACCCCATTCTTGTAATTTCTAACCTGGCGTTTTTCAGTCTTCTCAATCGGTCTGTTTTGAAAATGGAATAAATTGAATATAATTTAGTTTTAATTAAATTCCACCTATTTTCTCCCCCATGTTCTCTTTGATAGACACCACAATCATTACATAAATAATCCCCACTTTTATTTTCACGTCGCCATAAAGTAGTTGACGTAGTTCCACAATTTATACACTGACGTTTATTCATGTCAATATTGCCTAAGATTCCGAAAATTTTATTAATCGTGGAGAACTTTTTCGACGAATTTAAAAAAAAACACTTTAATTGAAAGTCTAACACATTCTTTATCAAATTAGAAACAAGAAGTCTGAAGCTTGTCTCTCCCAAAACTCATACACTGAAGCCAAAGCATGGCCATGGGAGTGTATGCATTACAAAATTTACCTACATATACCCAAATAATTAACCGGCGTAATTATTGTTTCAACACCTCATTAAAGGTGGTAATTATTAAAGAATTCAATTATTTTAGAAAAGATAATTATTTGAGTATATGTATAAGGTACTGAGTTTTATATGAACCTTAACTTTTGTTGGACTATATTAATAAGATCAGGTCCATAATATGAAAATATATACTAAAGTTAGACTAATATAAACACATATGGCTTCTATTTTTCAACCTTCTCGTAAGGAAGCTCCTGAAACTCAAGGAATGGAGGGGATATCCCAAAAGTACAATATTTTCCAACCTGTCTTTTTTTCAGCCTCCTCAATCGGTCTGTTTTGAAAAAAGGAATTTGTTGATTCTAATTTAATTTCAATTAAATTCCACCTATTTTCTCCCTCATGTCCACCTTGATCGACACTACAATCATTACAAAAATAATCAACACTTGCAGGTCGCCATATAGCAGTTGTCGTAGTTCCACAATTTATACAATGAGGTTTATTCGTGTCAATATTGCCTAAGATTCCGAAAGTCTTATTAACAATTATGGAGATTTTATTGAAAGACCCACGTCTTTATATAATTTAAAGTAGGGTTGCGCCCCGACCCCGACTAACCCCGACCCCGATCCCCGACATTTTTTGACCTAAAACCCCGACCCCGACATTCCCAACCCCGAAAACCCCGACCCCCGAAAGTTCGACCCCGACGACCCCGAACCCCGAAAAATTTTTATGACCCCGACTCAAAATGCATTAACTTTCATATATTTTTTTGTTGGCATTCTGCTAAAATTTTGATGATAAAACAAAAGAAAGAAAAGACAACTAAAAAAAGAGGAAAAGAACTGTTTTTATTTTTCTCTATTCACAGAGAATATTTTCCATAAATAATTTAAAATAACTTTTTCTATTCATAGTTTGGTTAGACACAACTTATTTTGAATTATATTAAAATGTCTACTAAATCTTCTGATATTTGGAATTTTTTTGTAAAATTATCAATGGCTGATGAATCAGCTAAGTGCAAGCTTTGTGAAAATAAATTTTCTTGTAAAAAAAGTTCAACAAAGGGTTTATGGGACCATCTGAAGTCTATGCATTTGGCAGAATATGAGAAGTTTTTGCAAAAGAACACAACAACATCAGTAAGAGCAAACTAATAAAATATAGATTTTTTATTAACAGGCTAATCTGGATATATCAAAATTTCTTGGTAAGGATGAGCCTCAAAAAAAAGCAGATGAACAAATTGCGGCACTTATGCTTCGCCAAAATTGCTCTTTTCTATTTGTCGAAGCACCTGAGTTGAGGGATCTTTTTCAACGTGCATATCCGAATTTAACAGTTGCTTAATTTTTATAACCATCATTAACATATTTTTAGTTACGACGAAGAGATTATTTTAAAAGAAATGTTATTCCTTCAATGGCAGAAGAAATTAGGCGTAAAATTACTCAACGAATAGGAAATGATAAATATGCTTTGACATCTGATGGCTGGTCACAGGTAACAAAGTCACCAGCACTTCTCAGGTTTTATTAGTTTAATTTTTATAAAAATAAATCACGTTAAGTATAACAGTACATCACTTAAATTCATCTTTCGAAAGAGATGATTTCGTGTTTGATGTTGTGCCTATGGATAGTCATACGGGAGAGGATATTTGTGCTTCCATTGAAAAATCATTAAAGGATAATGGATTAAATAAGGAAAATGTTGTTTGCTTAGTAAGAGATGCAGCGCGAAATATGATCAGATCTTGCAATTTATTGGAACTAAACAGGTTTTTAATTTTTATAATTAAAAAATATAAATTAGTTTTCAAAATTAGTTTTCAATGTGTTTGCCATATGCTTCATTTGTCTATGAATGATTTGCTGGAGACAAAAGAATTGAAAGTGTTTATCGCAAGAATTCAACAGTAATGTTGGATAAAAATGCTGGATTTTGTAAATTTTGACTTCAACCCCGACCCCCGACCCCGAACCCCGACATTATTTTCAGCCCCGACCCCGACCCCGAACAATTTGAGCAACCCCAACCCCGACCCCGACTTTGTCAACCCCGAAAACCCCGACCCCCGACTTTTTCAACCCCGAAGGCTCGGGGCGCAACCCTAATTTAAAGTATGTTTCAAAAAATAAAAAACACTTTACTTGAAGGCTAACACAATTTTATCAAATCAGAAACAAGTTTAACAAAGTCTGAAACTTGTCTCTCCCAAAACACATATACTGAAGCTAGAGCATGGAAATGGGAGAGTAAATGAGAGTAATGGAGTGAAATGGATACAAACCCTATAAGTACCTAATAAACAATGATTATTTTAGAAAGGAAAATTAGAGAACGAGCTGGGTCTGGACCGATGCCTGGGTTTGTCCTTTCTAGTTTTTAACCTTTCTGCGTTTTCCTGGACTAAAGGCCCAGGATCCGCCCAGGTCAATAAATCAATCCCCTGAACCGAGCAACAGGCCCAGACTTTTCAAAAACCTCGATCCCTATAAAGTGAGTTTTTCGTGAACCTTAAGATCAGGTTCACAATATACCTAAATATGTATGTATATGTACAAAAGTAAAACTTTTAATATAAACAGATGTCTTCTATATTTCAAACTTCTGATAAGGAAGCCCCTGAAACTCAAGGAAGGGAGGGGCTAATAAATACCCTAAACGTACAATATTTTCTAACCTGGCTTTTTTACAGGATTGACAATCGGTCTGTAAAAAATGAAAGCATTATTGCTAATAAATTAATTATACACTTATTCATTCCATGAAGTTTTCGATAGAGGCCACAAGCATTACAATAACAATCCCCATTTGTCTGATCACGTCTGTATAAAGAAGCATGCTCAGCTCCGCAATTTTTACATTTTGGACTTTTCATGTTTACACGACTTAAAATTAAGGGAGGAATTTGTGGGACTTGGTAAATTGAAAAATGCATGTTACGGGGCAAGTTGAAGCATGCTTCAGAAAATAAAATTACAACTTTTAAAAGTTAATTATTCTCTATCAAATTAAAAAGAAGCTTCACAAATTCTGAAGTGAAGTTTAATAAAAAATCAAGCATGCTTCAAAAATTAAAGAATTCCTGCCCTGACTTGTCCAATATTTATAAAATACGCAAAAATGACCTATAATGCTTTGTCTGAACCTTTATATTTATTTAGAAAGGGAATAAAGCTAAAAAGTTCTACCTGTACTAAGAGAGTGAACGCCTTACAAAGACAGAACGACCCAAAACCTGGGGAGTGTTTACCTCCTGAGACGGAAAGTTTAAAAATAATAGATGATGGAAAGGTAGGTTTGAAGGGCACAAATAAACCTTCAAAGGAAGAAAAATTGAAAGATGGTTTAAGGGAAATATTTGAATAATATGTTGGGAAATAGGGCAAAATACAGTGTTAAAAAAGATAAAACGAACAAATTTTCCTTTCGTCAAGTCATCCTTCGAATTTTAGAATAAGAGAAAAATATTTTAAAAAATTATAGAATAATTTATAACACAGTTAATCCGTTTAAACTAGGGTTGTTGGCGGTCGGTTAACCGAACCGAAACCGAAACCGAAAACCGGTGTTTTTGGCCAATAAACCGAAACCGAAAACCGGGGGTCAAAAACCGGCGAAAACCGAAAACCGATGGCATAAACCGACCGGTTTCGGTTTATAAGATACACCCCTAAAGATGGAATTTTTTGGGAATTTTTTGGCCATTTGAATTCCCAAAACACACTTCGCCAAAATTATTTCCTAATTTCTGCTTCAATAAATAAGTTTTTCACTAGCAGTGTGTGGTTGAGTGGTTACTTGATGGGGTCATTTAATTAGTTTCTGATATGGGGTTGGGTTCGAGTCCAAAGGTGTAAACTTGACTTATTTTCTTGTCACTTCCAAAAAATACTAAGCTTAAACTCAAGTTTTTATTTTATACTCGAAATTTATTTTTGATATTAAAAAAACGAAAAAACAAGTCAAAATTTCCAATGAAGTCCTATAATTCTAAAAATTTTCGCCTGCGGCGCAGAAAATAGAAGAAAACTTTCTATTTGAAAATAGAAGAAATTTCTATCAGAAAATAGAAGAAAACTTTGATTTTCATTATGGATTTTTAAATTTATTTTTTTTTAATATTTTAAGCTTGAAAAAGTATTAAAAATTTTAATTTAGTCATAAATTTTGCAAAATTTTCGCCTCCGGCGGTGAAAAAAGGAAGAAATCTGGCTGTTGGCCTTTGAAATTTCTCAAAATTTTCGCCCCCGGCGGTAAAAAAAGAAGAAATCTGGCTTAAGGATCATCCAAAATTATCCAAATTTTCGCCTGCGGCGCAGAGAGATTTGCAAGGATATCAGAACAAGCCAAGCCTGTGCGATCTCTTTTTTCTTATTTTTCTTACATCCTAAAACTGTATTTTTACATCCCAGCACTGTATTTTTCTATTTGCCTTAGTTAATCCCCTCCGAATCCCTCAACTTAAATAATTCACTCAAATCTCCGATATCTTCGAATCCTCTTATATAACCAGTGCTGTGTATGGCACCGCGAGCTGGCACCGGAGCCCGACTCCGGCGGAGCCGAAGCCGGAGCCAAGATTTTAAAAGCTCGGGGCCGGAGCCAATTAATGGCCAATACCCAGCAATGTATTTTCACTTGCAGCCCTGAATAATAAAATTTTCGTTGGCTGATCTGTAGAATATTTCATTGAAGCATAATAATGGGATAAAATATGAATTGAATATTCTGTATGGCAAATTCAGGCATAAACCGGTTTCGGTTAACCAAAAACCGGGGTCCAATCGAAAACCGAAACCGAAAACCGGGGGTCGTAAACCGGCCAAAACCGAAAACCGAGGGTACCGGTTTTTAACCGGTCGCCAACAACCCTAGTTTAAACCCCTTGATATCTCCGATATCACTTCAAATTCTCCGGTATTCAGTGTATACATATGTAGGTATTGAGGGACCACCTCAAATTTTCAATAAAATTTTTATATAAAACTTCGAAATTTCAGAAAAAAACCAAAATTTAATAGTTTTTCAAATTTTTAAAAAACCGGGTCCGGGTGTAAAAAACAGGTTTCCCGGATAGATTTAGAAGAAAAAAGCCCAGATACCGGGCCCGGCAAAGTGAAAAGTTCGAACTCTAACGAATAGTCCCTCTATTATTAACAATCTAAAAAAATTACTTAATTGTTGCTCGCAAAAATTTCCAATTTTTATTATTTGTCCCAACAATTTTCTGGCACTTTAAATAGATAAAATCATAAAATTAATATTTTTAAATTAAAATTTTAACACCCCTTAATTGCTATTTTTAAATTTTGTTTATTTTAGCAATTTATTCCTCTTTAATGTGTGAGGATTATTTTTAGTATTTTCACTTTCCCCTATTTTTATATAATATTTTTATTGATTCTTCTCTATGTATAAAGCAATAAAATTATTATTTTTTAAAATTTATTTACTAATTTTTTATTTTTATTTTTTAAAAATTAAAAAATTTTTCTCTCAATTTAATTTAAAATTTCCAATGGAAAATTTTTGTTTGGAAAATTTACGAGGCAAAGAGGTAAATAGAAGAATTTCACCTGAAGTTCCGTTGTCTTTTGGTCTGGAACAGATAACGGAACTCAAATTGGATTCGGTTCCGGTCAAAATATCGGTTCCGGGGTAAAATTCCGTCATACGTCCCGGAAACCGATTCAGACAAACAATATGTCATTTGAAAGAGCTAGGCGAGCTGAGTCGAATGACATCAAAATTAGGTCCCGGTCTCACTTATGGACCGAGATATAGGCCCCCGAAAATCGAAAAACCATATGGGGGACCAAGCACTTTTTTGGGGTGAAAAATTTGAAAATGCAAATTATACCTCATTCGAAAGAGCTCCTCGAGCTGAGTCGAATGACACCAAAATCAACGAAATCTGATTTGATTTAACAAAGTTATGATCGTTTGTTTTAGCTCCTTACCTTTGTTCTCCGTGGATGTTATGCTGCTGCGGAGGAAGCCGGGCATGACCATCACAGCGATAATTGGAATAGGATTAAGTTACGAGCCCAGACCCAGCGCCCGTAGACTCCCCGCGAGGCGCGTACCGCAAAACTCCGCGCGAAGCGCGGAGTTTTGCACAAGCGCCTCGCCGCCGCCCCATAGGTTTATGTTGTCTGTTTTTTTTGTCATAACTTCGAAAAAACTTGACCAATCACGGCGATTTTGGTGCCATTCGACTCAGCTTAAAGAGCTCTTTCAAATGAGCTATTATTTGTATATTCGAATTTTTCACCACAAAAATGTGCTTGGTCTCCCCTATGGTTTTTCGATTTTCGGGGGCCTATATCTCGGTCCATGGGTGAGACCGGGACCTAATTTTGGTGTCATTCGACTCAGCTCGCCGAGCTCTTTCAAATGACATATTGTTTGTTTGAATCGGTTTCCGGGACTTATGACGGAATTTTTCCGGTTCCGGTAAAGCACTAGTAAATAGCCCTTAAGGCTTTCTATAAAGCACTACCATGATCTACATTTAAATTCATAACTTTATGAATAATAATCCTTTCAAAATTATTTATATACCATTCGATAGAGAATTAAATTTGCTACAAACTTACAAAAAATTATTTTTCTAGCTAAAATTTCAAAAAAGTTATGCTGGAAAAACTACGACAAATTAACATTCTTCCCTTAAATATGTTGGTTTTTTGACTACAACTTTTTTTCTAATTAATCAAAAATTCTAATTTAAATTTTATTTTGTAGAAAATCAATTATCTATCGAACTATATAAAATTTATTTAAATCGGTTAAGAATTCCTAGAGCTATAGCCTTAAAACTCAACCCATGTTTAATTCCCCATTTAAGGCTTGGTTAAAAGAAAAATTGCCTTTAAATGTCTACAGTGACGAAACATCCAAACTTTTTGATTCAGCATTGAGACAATTAATTTCTTGGTACGAATGTGAACAAATTGGAGGTCTTTTAGGCACTATAGAGAAAATGAATAAATCGGAACCTGATTTTTGTAATTTTTAATTTTAATTAAAGAGAGGAAACTTAGTTTAAAAATTAGATTGAAAGACATTCCTCCCCTTTTTTCCTTCCAAAATTCCCTTGTATTAAAAGCAGTTAAAAAAGAATTATTAACAAGTGAAGCATGGTGCCATTTACGCTGCTTTAAATGTCCTCCACCTTGTTTGAGTTAACTCTTCTAGGCTAAGGTTGTCGGATCCGAATCCGAAGAAAGGCCGACATTTTCGGTTCAGATATCGGATCCGGATATCCGAAGATTTCCAACTATCCGACAACTTTATTTTAGGAAACCTAACTATAGTACGAAAACCTAAATAGAGAAAATATTTTTAGTATTACTCTTATCGTCTAAATATTTTTATGCTAAAGCTCGGATTTCCATGTGTTAACTATCAATTTTCACTATCAATTTTTATACCTTAAATTTTTAATCCTTTATTGGTGTGATCAGAGGTGGGTAGGAAACGACGAAATTGTTCCCCTGATCTTTCAAAACCCGTAAAAAAATTTTTTCAGATTTTTAGTATTAGGCAAAAGCAAGAGAAAAACCAGCATTACCCTTCAAAGCCTTTAAATAAAATTTTTTCGTTTTCAGTATTAGGCAAAACATTAAAGCTTGGATTGGATACTTTAAGTAGTGGACGATCTAAACGTTCTGATCCTACTTTTGAACAAGAATTGGCAGATTTAGTTAAGGATGCTAATTTAAGGGGGAATGGAAGGGAGAGAAAACATGCTTATGCTGTTCAACTTTTTGCTGAAAGGTTGGAAATTAATTTTATAATTTCAAAAAGTCCACCCCTCGAAATGCCCAAATATTAGTTTAAAGTAGGGTAGCACTCTGTCCCTCGAAACCCCCAACCCGAACCCCAAAGGCTCTACCCAGGCAAACCCCGATCCCCGACGATCCCGCCCCCGAAGGCTCGGGGTGCTATCCTAGTTTAAAAAATAAATCTTTCACAGTGAAATGCACAGAGCATGTAATGAATGGGAAGATATACTTGTAGAATACCCCAATGATTTAATGGCACTTAAATTTGCCCATACTGGATATTTTTACATTGGAGAGCATTTGGGTTTTGCTTTTTTAAAATATTAAACTCAATCTAATTTATTCAGCTATGAAAGACAGTATTGCGAGAGTAATTGATAAATGGGATAAAGAGAGATATCCAGGTTATAGGTTGGAATATTTTTATTTATAGAATGTCAAATTTCGTAAATGGTTCATATCACGTACCGTAGTACCTACCTATATTAATAAGCCTTCATCAAATTATTGCCAATCTATTTACTACCCTTTCCAGCGATAAGTTTAAACAACAATTCCTCCCCCCCCTTCCCCGCCCCCTAACACATGTTAAAACTTCGAATAATTACCCTCCACGATTACTTTCCATACCGAGTTGTAATTATCTCCTCTATTTACATAGAAAACGGAAATAATTACCCAGGGTAGTCATTCAAGGAAATACGGTATCCTTTATAGTTATCTACACGGGATGTATGCTTATGGATTGGAAGAATCCGGGGAATATATCGAAGCAGAAAAACAAGCAAAAATAGGCCTACAATTACAACGTCAAGATTGCTGGTCTACCCATGCTATAGCTCACTGTAGGGAAATGGCTAGCGATTTCAAAAATGGAATTAATTTTTTGGAATCCACAGAGAATGATTGGAGTGTATGTTTTGACAGAAAATATTCAAAAATAAATTTAGAATATTATTTTTAGCAGTGTAAGCTGCTCCATGGGCATAATTACTGGTAAATATTATTAACAATTGAGTTCTCTACAACCTGGTTAATCTAGTAGATAAACACTACATTTTTAGTTATTAATGGAAACTGTTATTTAAAAATCGGGAAATCAAAAGGACCGAGTTTAACCTATTGAGTTTAACCTATTGTTATGTCCATAAAAATTCATACTTTACTGAATCGTATCTATTATATGGTGTTAATTTTTAAGTGAACAGTCAGAGCCTCTCTATAAATACTCAAATATATCCACCTCGATTTAAGACATGTTTTTAAAAGCTTCCTAACTATACGCCTTTCATGCCTCAAGAGTTTTTTGCATATAAGAGAGACTTCTGAACTTAATTAATTAAATTTCAGGCATAATGCCCTCTTTTACATTGAAAAGGGGGACTTTGAGACAGCTTTAACTATTTATGACAAGTTTAATAATTTTTAAAAATTTCCAAAAATTTTTTATTTTTTGAGTAAATTAGCACCCAAAACCTCAAAAAAATCCTTTACAATAATGGAATTAATAGATGCTTCTTCCCTTTTGTCAAGACTTGAATTGGAAAGAATTAATGTTGGTAGAGAACGTTGGGAAGGATTGATACCTTTAGTTGGGCCACATATTGGGGATCAAATAATTGCTTTTAATGATGCACATATAGCTATGGTGTTGAGTAAATTGGATGATGAAGATATTGATGGAAGGGGGAATTTGGCTTATTTACATGCCAAAAATATATCGAATTTTGTGGGGTAAATTTTCAGAATTCTTAATTTATGACAACCCTCTCCCAAAACTTTGGAGACTAGTCCCGGGAAAGACGACTAGGGCATACTTCAAAATAAAACAGAAAATGACTCAAGTCAGAAAAATCGGGCCTGAAATAATCTATGTCTGGTCTGTATCAATTAATACCTTTAATTTGTATAAAAGTTTTGGGGCGGTAGGATCTCTATATGAGAAAGCTTTGGCTATATTTTTTTCTATATGAGAAAATTTATACCTCAATTTAAGATACGGTTTTTAATATTCGATTGTTCACGTGAGGAGGGAGGAGCACCCTAGGGAGGGCACTTCTTTATTGTTCACCTCATTATAAGATACACTCTTTAGCTACAAAGGTATATTTCTTAGTGAAGTCCAACTAGGTATAATTAATTTTAAAGTTAAATTTTAACCTTCTAAAAATTTTCCCAAAATTAGAAAATAAAATTTAAATATAGATAGGCTAGCCCAAGCCCTTTAAAAATTTAATTAAAAAATAGGGATAAACAAAATATTGGAGAAAATGCATTAATTATGCGTGATTTTGGGGAGAAATTGTGTTCATCAATTAATTTATTTAATAAAGAAAAATATGACCAAGCATTTGATGATTTGTATTCTATCAAATCACAATTTTCTCGACTTAGTGGAAGCCATGCTCAAGTAATTTTTGAATTTTTTAATAAGTTATTTTTGGGGGATTATTAACTTAAAATAGCTTTTACATATAAAATAACCATTCATTTAAACGTTGATAACTCTGCAGAACCTAAACTTTTTTGAAAGATTCTGCTATAACTTCTTTCAGAATAGTATCACGAACGCTCAGAGGCGGCTGTTTCGGTCTATGGGGTTTCCACATTGTTTCCGAGCGGGGTACAACTCTATTTGTTAACCTTTCATTTATCCCACCACCGACTGATATTTTCCTTTCTGCTTTATCTATTAAACTGAGGGGGACATCCCTGGCCTTGGAAATAAAATTGGATTAAAATAAACTTTTTCCAATTCTATTTTAATTAAAAATTTTTTAAAGAAAATTTTTTAAGGAATTATTTCCCCACATTTTTAAAATTTTTCAGAAAGATATATTCACCCAATTTCTCGTGTGTGCAGGCCTACATTCTCAAGACAAAGAAAGAAATAAAAAAGCATTGTAAATTTAATTTAAAAAATAAATTTAAAAATATTTTTAAAAAATTAATTCCAAGGGTTGTTCTCCAAGAGAGAGGTGCAAAAATGAGAGATTCCGCTTTGGCTCTTAGACTAGTTAAGAGATATGAAGAAGGATTATCTTCTAAAAGATAAATAAATTTTTCTGGAATTTTTATTTAGCACAATAGTATTTTCATTAATTAATTGTATTTTGAAATATTAAATTAATTTGTAAATATGACCTAATTTTCATAAATAAATTTGTATTTTTCTTTAGATTTATTTATTTTTCTTTGCTTTTAATCCATACTTACAAGAGTTTTGGATAAAATCCCTTTTTACAGAATCCTTAAATTATAATTCTAGCAATCTTTATTAGAGACGTCCATGACTTGATTTGGTCTTGGCATGAAAGTAAGATCAAACAAAGTTTAGTTATACTTGGCTCATAGTTCAAGTGGTCCGCTGAATGTTATGAACTTCCGGTTGATTTAGGGTAAATGGATCGAGACACATTTTCAGGTCTCGATCGGTAAATACTCAGTACCTGATAATTGATTCTTAGACAGGGAACCGAGAGCTTTAACTGTTATAATAGAAAATAAATTTTCCACATATTGGCCTTACGTAATCAGAAAATTATGGTCATCTAGATTGTGAAGCAAATTCGCATGCTTCATAAATACAGTCCAACTGCACAATAAGATACAACACCAGTAATGAAAATTGAATCTTAAATTATGTTTAGGCACTTCCCCTTCCCTCCCTTCCTGCAGCCAGTGGCCAACAAAATTCTAAAAAGTGTATCTAAATAAAAAAGTTTCATTTTTTAAATTTTTGGTTTAAAATCACGTTTGTTTTAGTTATTAGTTTAGTTTGGTTCAATAATTATTATTATCCAAAAGTATCTGCGGACATTTTAATTTTTAGGTATAAAAACTAGGTATAAGAAACTATTTTAAATTAATTATAAGAAATAAATTAGTTTTATACGAAAATTAAATTTTGTTAAGATTAAATTTAAGAAATAAAAAAATATGGCAGTCCTTTTTGAGCAAATAAAAAATCACTTAAAACAAGAATTTTGTTTTTTGTTCAAAAAATTTTTGAAAATCATAGAAATTCCAAAAAATAAAAAATTCTTGTTTTTTAAGAATAAAAAGCTTATTTTGAGTGTTGGAAAAGTGTTAATTAAGAAAATATTTATTCCCAACTAAATTTTACTCCAGAAAAAATTAATTTTTACCCCCACCCTCCCAGCCCCCTCTCCCCCAACATCATAGCCACTAAATAAATTTTACAAAGGCCCTCCAAAACGTCTTTAAAAACTCTATTTATCCCCACACAGTTTTTTATGTTTGTGAAATCATAATTTTATTTTAGTTATTTTTAAAAAAATTATCAATCTTCTGAAAATTTTGTTTTTAAATATTTTTGGTTTTTAAAAATTTTCCTAATAGCCAATCAATATGTAAAAAATGGATTTTCGGTTTAAGACTTTTCCAATATATAAAAGAGATTGTTTTAAGATTACATACATGTTTTTGAGATGTTTTTTAGTATAAGAATCAAAATTAGTACAGAAATTAAGTGAATTTATAAGTTATAAATTAGATTAGTTAAGGATCTATATTTTTTAAAACCGTAAATTTTTTTGAATAACCCGAAGGTGAAGGAGATTTTTTGAAAGAAAATTGAAATATTGAGGTCTTTAATTGAGAAGGTTTTTAAAAATAAATTATAGATCCATACATATGTCAAACACGACTTATTTCTTGCATAAACCATGAATTAGAGAGATAACTGAAATGACCAATGCAATAAGAGTCATTATCATCATTATAATCTAAAAAATTTTGTTGGATTATCCGGAAAAGAATAATAAAAATAAATAAAAAATTTTTCGGTACTTTTCGGTTATGAGGTTACACATATACAAATTTTAAAAAGTTCTCAAAATGTTCAATATATCATATATAGGGTAGAAAAAGGTGCTGAGTCGACCGGTACCAATCTTTTTTCACAGAGATTCTTGTGGACCGAGATATAGGGCTCGAAATGGTCAAAAACCATAGGGAGTAGTAAGCTCATTTTTGGGGTGAAAAATTCCATTTTTTGAATGATAGCTCATTCGAAAGAGCTCGAGTTGAGTCGAATGACACTAAAATCAGCTCCAAATCTTGATTCTGAGAGCAGATGAACAAGCTCAAATGGTCAACGTCCCTTATAGTTTTTGACCATTTCGAGCCCTATATCTCGGTCCACAAGAATCTCTGTGAAAAAAGATTGGTACCGGTCGACTCAGCACCTTTTTCTACCCTATATATGATATATTGAACATTTTGAGAACTTTTTAAAATTTTTAAATGTGTAACCTCATAACCGAAAAGTACCATTTTTCCAATCAAATCAAACAAAAATTTCAAAATTTAGTACAGAATTAAAAACGAACAATACGAAAAATCGTTGTTAGTTAAAATTTATTATTTTTAGTAAAAATTTTGTAAAAACAGTTTAGGACAGATCCAACCCTTTTATTTTTAAAAAAGGGAAAAAATGGAAATTCGAAAAGAATCGAGTTTTTGAATAAATTCCAGTTTCAAAAATTAATTTATTTTGATCTGGTCCTTTTATTTATGGACAATTTATAGATCGAATTAATGAAGCTAAAAAGCCACAAAAAACTTTTATGAAGCAGAAAATTTTGTTTAAAAATGGCCAAAATTTTAAAAAGCCTTAAATATTAACTCCCAACCAGACCTTAAAAATCCCCAATATTTAAAATAATGCAGAAATTTTTTTAAAAAAATTTTTGGAATAATTACCAAATTTATTCCAAAATACCTGGAGATTGTAATTGATTGCGCTGTCAATTTTAGTCTCCAAACGATTCATTTTTTCATCAATTTTAGTCTCCAAAGTCTCCATTTTCCCCTCCAAACGATTAATTTTTGTTTTGAGTTCTCCAATATCTAAAAATTGAGTAAATAAAGGAAAGTAATAAAAAATATGTAAACAATATTTTTAGTAAATCCTTTATTTAAAATATTGAATTCCCTAAAAATTGGAATTTAATATACCTTCCTAAACCAGAAAAAGTTATCGAAAGGTAAAAACTTGAGTAATTTTCTTGTTAAGTGGCAAACAATATAGTAGGGTAAATACTAAAATTCATGGTTCGCTTAAGGTATTCAAAATCTGCATATATGAATTAATTACACGGAACCCGTGAATTTATCGAAGAATGGAGGGCTTTTCCTGCGGACTTCTATTTTGCCTTGTCACTCAATCAATAATGAATTAATTTCGGAGTAGTTAATGAATTATAGAGTTAAAATTGAAGAGAAAAGGCCCACCAAAATTCTTCAGAAAAAGTCCCACCCCCCCCCCCCCCCCAATTTTTCAAAAATATCCAAAGTTTCGACTCATTCGCTAAAAATTCTCTTGAACCAAATGCTTAAAGGATTTATGTAGGTATTGAAATCCCACATTAATAAATCCCACACAAAATCCCACATCCCACATAATCCCAATCCCACATTAATATAAACCTTTTTTAATTTCAATCAATTCTGACGTAGGTGGCGCTTCGACTTTTGGAATTACAAGAAATACTACAAATAAAATTTTTTTATTTTAAATAGGCAAAGTAAATAAAATACATTTGTCAGTCCACCCATCAAGAGGCGGTAAAAAAGCAGTTTTATTCATATTCATCCTTAAAATGTAAATATTTAATAGGGTTATTGTTAGGTAATGTTGAAGCTGATTCTTCCCTATATATTTGTTTGTGAGGAGATTTTATTTATTTTGCGGACATTTTTTGCGGACAAGTCAATGGAACCAAGATTTAAATAAATTTTAAAATCCTAGCTCTAAGGGTTTTAGTAAAAGAACTGTGGCACTCGAGTAAGGAGAACCCTAAGAATCATAAAAACAAGGTAACCTAAAAATCAATGGTTTCTAGAACAACTCAAAACTAAGAAAATCAATAGGGTTACACTGATTTGTGAAGGTAAGCAAAAAAGCAGTAAAATTCAAGTTCGTACCCCCCTTCCTTCTTTCCTCAGTATATTAAAATAGGTACGAGTTCTGCCTTTTAGAATAAATAGAGAATTGTGCGTGTACCATAACTGGGGGTGAGAGTTCGCACTCTTATAAGGATTTTGTGGGAATAAGGTGAGCCTGAATATTACAAGTAAAAAGAGTGGTTCACACCTTTGAAATTGGTTCAAAAAGCTAGAGCAAAGATGGTAAGATTTTAAATCTGACCATTTTTAACACTTTGAAGAAGGAACAAGAGGGGCGGTAATAACTTGAATATTACCCAAAAATGACTAATCTTAAAAGCTCGATGGCTAGAATAATGTAAAAGAAACCTAAGCTGTCTAAAGTATCCACGAGACATATACTTCAAGCCATTTACGTATGGAAATTGAACTGCTACAGTTGAAAGTGGCAAAGATCCGTCAGAGTCAAGAGGGAGCAAAGTTTCGTCCATTACAGAAAAATTACTAGCTACATACACACTTTCATGCTAAAAATTATTTTTTAATTTCAATTAAAATAAAAAATAACATTGATTTTGTCGTGTATGGAGGAAAAAGAATTGAATTGAACAACTTCGGTCGTGAGTGCAAATGAATTTGGGTGAAGAGGAAGCAAAGTTGCGGCCTTATCAGAAGGATCACTAGCTACGTACACACCTTGCTAAAAATTATTTTCTAATTACAATTAAAATAAAAAAAACAACGTTGAGTTTATCAAGCATGGTTAATGATAAATTTATCAGGTTAAAAAGGATCATAATCTTGCATAACATCATTATGACACTGAAAATTAATATTTAATAGAAAGTTATTCTAAAACTATGATGGGTTTAATAGATTTCTAATCAATTAGAAAATAAAGGAAACTTAAATAAATTCTTCTCATTCAAGCTTGGAATGAGTTAGGTGAAAACTGGGCGCTGACAATTTAGAGAAGAAAGGAAATGGTTAGGGAACGCACTGAAAACTTTGCAAGACGAAACTACGCAGTCCAAAAATACGCAAAACTAAAAATACGCAAACTCTTTTCCTTAAACATAACGCCAACATTTAAATTAAATGTCTATTTACTCTCTTTATTTTGTTCGATCTTTCTTGCGTCTGACTTTATTGTAAACAAGAGAAAAGGTCAGGAAGGGATGAGTTTATAAAATGGTCAAATTCTCTCATTTGCGAGGGGGAATTAGATTAATTTTATAACTTTTGATCCTCCCTTACGATTTTTTCAAATTCTGTATTTTTGTAGTACAAAATTGTTAAACAATCACTAAGGTTGAGAAGCCAATATACATTTTTAACGAAGTTTGAATTTTTTAAAACACAATCTTAACGATTTTTAGGAGTCTATCTCAGTTCATAATTAATGTCGGTCTTTCATTTTGGTCTCATTCGACGTATCTCACTGAGATCTTTCGAATTATTGTCCATATTCGGAAGTATTTTTGTCTACATTAGGGAGACTATAACTAATGAACTCAAGTGATAAAATTTTTTTAAAAGTTGTCAATTGTAGTATTATAAGTTTATACAATTTAGCGTTTAAAATTGAAACGCGTTTAAAAACTCCTTGAAAAGCGTTTAAAAATTCACAAATTTTTTTCAGCGAATCTTGAAACAATTAACTATAAAATATACTGTGCCGGATTGGCACTTTTAATTGCCATTAAAATTTAATTTTATTTAATATTTTGTGTTTTGATGTTTAGTGTGTCTCCCAGCCTATTTTTTCTTTCTTCTAAAAATATAACTTCGGGCGGGGAGACACACTCACAACAATTTTTACATTCACCATACCACTGTTTTTTGGTTGGCTTTTGACTTGCCTTTAAGAATTAATTTTTTATTCCATTTTTACACATATATAATTTTTACCACTTGCTCTTCTTACTGGCAATCTCTCTGTTTAGTAAAAATATCCCTTTTTTGGCTTGGATTTAGCCTTGCTTGTTTATTCTCTTGACTTGCCAGTATTTTTTCTCTTATTAATCCGACCACCTATTTTTACTCATTTTTTGTTGTGGAGTAAAAAATTTGTTAGTTAAATAAACATTCGATTTTGGACTGTGTGTTTTTTGTGTAGTTTTAACCTATTGCCTAGAGTAAAAGGCATTTTTTATATATACTGACTGATTTTAAATCGTAAAACGGTTCTCAAGATATAGAATTTTAAGTGTTATTAAAATTTGTCCTAAGTCACTCAACGCCCTAGGGTAAATCCGGCCGGTTTTCCAGAGGGTTCTCTGGGCAATAAGAGCTAGCTAATAAGATGTGAATTAAGGGTGAGGATTAATTTCGGACAAATTTAAAATGTATTTGAAAAAAAGAGTGGTACAAGACTGGAAATGGATAGAATTCGATCAAGGGTGGCAAATTTGAAAAAAAACTATGATGTAAAGGAGCTCATTGGAGTTACCACTCCCCTCCTGCTATAACGGCTTCGATGACTTCCTGACATATTTAAAGGAATTCGGGGCATAATTGGCAGCCAGTGAGATGTTGCCAACTCCAGATCTGTTTGAGTTTACTTCTTAAATACTGCCTTTCAACAAATTTAAAAAGCTTATTTTAATAATTCTAATAATAATTTTATGAAATGATTTTCAGTAACAAGACCTTCGCATTGCAACAAATTTAAATGAAGATGGCCTGGTATCCTAACCACTAATCTTAACGGCACTTTGGCACTTGATACTGTGACTGTATGTTTTCCAGGAGCTATTGGTTTGCAATACAAATGCTCTTCAATAGGCTTGATTCGACAGCTTTTGTATAGTTTTAAAATTTGAAGGCTTTAACGATCTCATTTTTGATCAGTTTTATTGATGCCAAAACTCATTCTTTACTCAAATTATTTCCCAGGAAATTCGAACTCATTCTCGAACTCATTCTTCGAACTCATTCTTCAAAAAACTCATTCTTTACTCAAATTATTTCCCAGGAAATTTCCCAGGAAATTTCCCAGGAATTTCGAATGAAGTGTCATTGTCATAATTTAAATAAAATTATTAAATTGTTTTACGCCCATTTTCTGGTCAATAAAAGGGAAGGGAAGGGAAGGGAGAAATTTAAATTACAAATTGCTTTTACTAGGGTTGCGCCCCGAGCCTTCGGGGTTGAAAAAGTCGGGGGTCGGGGTTTTCGGGGTTGACAAAGTCGGGGTCGGGGTTGCTCAAATTGTTCGGGGTCGGGGTCGGGGCTGAAAATTATGTCGGGGTTCGGGGTCGGGGTCGGGGGTCGGGGTTGAAGTAAAAATTTACAAAATCCAGCATTTTTATCCAACATTACTGTTCAAAATCAACATTTTCATTAAAAAATGAGAATGTTGTGACTTATAGGGGTTTTTTTTTGGCTGGACCGATTTGGTCAAATGAGGTGTCATTCGAAAGAGCTCGCCGAGCTGAGTCGATTGAGGGGCGAGTGGAGCCGATCCGACAATCAGGGACCGAGATACAGACCCCTGAAGTTTGAAAAAGAGAAGGGGGGAGTAAGCTCACTTTGGGGTGAAAAATTCGAAAATGCAAATAATAGCTCATTCGACCCCCCTTCTCTTTTTCAAACTTCAGGGGTCTGTATCTCGGTCCCTGATTGACTCAGCTCGGCGAGCTCTTTCGAATGAGTTTAATATTTCTAGTTTAATATTTCTAATATTAGTTTAATATTTCTAATATTGTTTCAAGTTTAAAATATTAAAAAAAATAAAGTTGCAAATTTAAAATCAAGATCAAAGTTTAAAAATATTTATTTTTGAGAAGAAAAATCTTCTCAGCCTCATTCCCATCCATGGATTCGAACAACATCCCTATCAAAATAGCTAAATGGGTGAAGTCAGTTAACCTAACCTCACAACCACCGAACACCAAAAGGAAATAGGAGAAAATATAAATATTCCTTTCCCTTTTCCTTCATATATTTAACATCAAAGTCCCGATCCCGTTCCGATCTCTTGTTAATTAATGCAGTTTGAGTCGGGGGCATAAAAATTTTTCGGGGTTCGGGGTCGTCGGGGTCGAACTTTCGGGGGTCGGGGTTTTCGGGGTTGGGAATGTCGGGGTCGGGGTCGGGGTTTTAGGTCAAAAAATGTCGGGGTTCGGGGTCGGGGTCGGGGTTAGTCGGGGTCGGGGCGCAACCCTAGCTTTTACTAACAGAAAAATTATATGAAAGAACAAAAATTATATGAAATATAATAATGAATTATTGCTAGAAAACCATCCGTTTTGAGTTAGGAGGTCAGGAGTTTGTCTAACAATATTTAGCTGGTATCCATGAGAGAAAATTTGGGGTGAAAGAAAAAATTATTTATAGTTGGTTTGTGATAGATTTTTAAATATTAATAGTGTAAATCCAGAAAAGTATCCCCAGCCCAGCAAATAAAGCAAAAAAAGATGCATCAAAACCTTGCATCAACAAGCTTTCTTACAATCTTTCTCTTGTTATTCCATCTTCATCCAAGTAAAATGCATAAATTCCATCATTCAATAATGGAGTTATTTTGACAACCATTTTAGGACTAAGGAAACTATTATGTAAACCCATTTGACCATCTTCAATATCATCTACATTAGTTGTTGCTATAGTTATTCTTATGGAATGACGCAGACTTTTCAATACTTTTTTCTCAAAATCGGAAATTTTCTTGAACATTTTGAACACACATCTTTCCTCGTCTGCTTTTTTAATTTTAACGTAGAATTGAAACCATCCATCGATAAAAATTTTTGTGATAGTAATAAAATAATTTCCCGGATTTTCAAATTTTAAACAAATTTCAATGTGAGAATATTCCATTTTCTCTTCATGTTTTTTGCCCTTTAATGAAGTTGACTCAATTAAATTAGCCTTGCCAAAATTTTCTCTTTTTAAAATTTTTCTAGGCCCTTCTGGATTCAAAAAACATATTAATCTTGTCAACTTTGCATAATTGTTTTGAAATGTCTTTAAAATTGAGTTTACACCGTTTATGTTTATTTCTGCACCATTAGAACTAGCAGCATTTTCCATACTCTCAATATTCAGGCTATCTACTTCTAAATTAATCTGTGCAAAAAACATAGACTCCAAATTCATTAATTTCTAAAATTAAAATGCAGTCTGAAAATTTATATACCCAGAAATTATACTATAATGTACAATCCCATGTAATAAAAATAGATTTTCTTTATTTGTCAGTATTTTTGTGGCTGGGGGGGGGGGGGGTTAGATTTTTCAACCACAAGAGGTACATGCTTTATACTTGTACAGGCTGTCCATTTTTTTCTCTTATTTCAATGTGAATTCGTTTTTCCCTACGAATTTTGGAACGAGCTTCCAACCATTTGTCTCGATTGTATAAAATTCAAAATAATACTGATACCTTAACACCACTATTTTCTCTTAAGCAAATATTTAGTTCTGTTATTTTGAAATACCAAAACGCATCCTCAATCAAAATTAATTTTTTCCCTTCATTTCCGTT